CAAGCTTCAGAAAGCTTGTACTTGGAGAGCAAAGGTAGGGTTCAATAACAAAAAACATATTAAATAATTAAATATTTATTGTATTAAATACAATTTTTCATTGTATGTAATTAAAAATATTTCAATTATTATTTACAATTAATGGAAGCGTATGTATCTATACTAGTAGTCTAGGTATACTATGAGAGAACTATTTGTTATTATAATGACGTATTATTGTTAATAATAAATAAATTTTTTCAATATATCAATTAATAGTTACAAGTAGACCATACGTCATCATTTCTTTATTTTGTCAAGAAAGATAATGATAGATATTTATGGATAGCGTATAACTAGAATAGAGTCAGATCTTATGATGAATAGCAAGAACTTTACTTAAACACTTGAAGCAAATGTAATAAACTGGTGATAGGGAATAGTTCAGAAAAGAAAATTATTTACTTCTGTAGAGTTTCCCTTAACTCATTTGAGAAATGAGTTATATGAACTATAACACGCCATTAACATAGTTAGGCGCATAAAAATACAACGGCTTCGCGGGCTTTGTTATGTAGTGTTCATAGGAAGAAGTTCTTCAGCCAAAGAGATGTAGAAAACTCGGTAAAGGATGCACACATTTTCAGTAGAAGGATCGGGTGCTCAACAAATGGAGCCACTGATTGAGCTGCCTGCTGAAGGTCACTAAACGCGACTCACGTGTTTAATGGCCAATTTAGTAAGTAAATTTATTTATTTATTTATTTTGTTTAAAACTAGTGTCCAATTCGTCCAACAATCGGTACTGCGGTCAAAAGTGTCTTATTGTCTCAAATTCACTTTTTATTACACAAACCCCTTTAAAGCGATTATTTTATTTATTTTTATTTAGTATTTATTTTTTAAAGGGTATTACCTCAAATTTTTTGATATAAAAAAGCTGTTCATATGATTTTTATATTTTTATTCATGTAGTCCAATTCTATATAAAGTGACGAACGTTTTGAAGTTTGACTTTGTTTTTAATTTTTGAGTTGTTACGTCGAAACTATTTTAAAGTCGGTTTTGTTTTTTAGGAATTTTAACTTTTATTTTAATCGTTGTTTTTAATATATTTTTATTTGCTAAAATATGTATAGAAATATACTAAAAATAATGATTGAAATAAAAATTATAATTCTTAAAAAAACAGAACCGACTTTGAAGTTTTGAAGTTTCTTAACTTCTTCATAAGAGTATGATAATTGACAATCATGATCTCACAATCAATGAATTAGGATTATTTAGAATAGAGTATAGTATAGAACTATGTTTTGTAGAAACTACCTACTTTAAGTTGAAAAACACTATATAAATAATAATAGAAAAAAACAAAAGCTTCTTTTAATATAAAAAGTTTACAATAATAACCTTTAAATAATATGTAAAGAAAATAAATTAAATATAGAAAATTAAATTCTTGAAACTTATCATATGGGATTCAGTGTAAGAGAATGTTGCTATATTATACATTATATAGTACGTGCAATTATTTCCGGCTCCATCTCTCTTATAGGATCAGGAAATTAATACGACATCTCTAGAACAAAAAATTCAGCCAAACATTTCTCTGTTGATTTAAAAATATTATAAAAATATTAAAACATATATGTTATACATACCTATATAATATAACATAAATAAGATAATGAGTGCGTTTGAACCACTAATACATTGCATCATTGAAGGAAACAAAGTATGGCAGGACTCAAATTAAATCTGCGTATTTCGATATAAAATATTTTATGCATCTAAGAAGTATATGTAAAATCGTTTCATAAATTAAATTATTTGGCAACTAAAAAATCAGTACAACCCTGAACCGAACTATACAAATTTTAAATATTTTACAGCTTTTATCATACGAAGCAAATGTTAGTAGGTTTGTACGATCAAAGGAGCTCCTTTCAGAAAACCTGATCACGAAATATATGACTGTTTTTAAAATTAATTCAGAAATATTATTTTCACTTAAATTTTTTTATACCATAAAAGCAAATTTTTGTTTTAAATATAAAAATCTATAATATTTGTTATTTTGAATCAATTTTTGAAATAACGATCTCATTACGGTTCATTACGGATGTCATAAGATCGGTTGTGATCTTAAAGAGAAACAACTCTCCATTTGAACCATTTTAATAAGTTATTTAGTGTTTTTTCATTAGTTCCAAATGAAGAGATACGGAATATATTCTATTTATATATCTTTTTAGTTTATAACAAACGTATGTTCCTAATCTAAAAAAAAGTTATGCTTCTAATTTTAGAACCTTCAAAGGACAACAAAATCAAAATACTGGGCGTTCAAATTTGTAGGAGTTTTATTTATGAACGTCCAGTTTGATAATAATTTGATTAGATGTTATAAAGCTATTTTCATCAAAACTGCTGCGATAAATTTTAATTCACTTATGAGTCATTATCGTCAACGCTTTCATTTTCTCCCAATAATACAATTAAAACAAATTATTATATACTGGTAATAAGATAATATTTTATTAAATTGTAGTTTCCAACATAAATATTTACTTTTAGTGACATTTGTAAAAACTTTATTATTATAAGAAAATATAGGAGTAACCCGCTATAAAACGCATTTTGCAGTCGCTAAAAAAAGTAAACTAAACTAAACTGAACATATTAAACGATTATTAATTTTATTATTTCTTATTTCAAGACTGTAGACCTAACTCAGTTCATTAAAAACAAACCAGAAGTACGGTATCAATTTGTAACATTTGCAAGGTAAGTAGATAAGATAGCTGGATATTTAATGTCACTTCGTGGCAGTCACAATATGCAGATATCATTATTACTAGGTAGTTCTTGAGCTTGTCCAGCTAAATGTGTATCGCAATTGATTTGTTTGGATCACATCAAGTATTTGGAATCGATTCATGAATTTCCTATCAGTGAATATTAAATATTTTGTTTACAATAAAGAATTCTTCTTCACAAGCTGGTGAGCTATATTGCAACAGTTAAATGCTTTATGATGAGGTTTCTAGACAAGTGTTACTTTGATCATACGAACCAACTAACATATAAAATTTTTGCAGCGTTAAACGACTTTTAATTTTTTGGTTAAAGATTGGTTCAATTTTATAGCTGTTTATCTATGGGAATATATTATAATGTAAACGTTTTTATATAGATATCTGAGATATAGCACATTACTCAACAGCATGGAGCAAAAATCGTGGGAAAGTTTCATATCGAAAAATTCAAATTGATTTTGAGTTCATAGGCATCAGCATTACTTTATTCCTTTTAAAATTAAAATTCATCAGTAAGTCAAATACAAAGCTATCTAATGCTTTCATTTTGTTATTTTTTTTTAATATACATATTAAATTTGTAGAAATGTTAGTTCTGGAGATGACCCCTTTTATATAAGAGAGTGCTCGATAGCAGGGGATTACTACTATAAACTTGCACTCTATTATTATAAGGAGGTGTTTATTGTAGAAGTGGCTCTATGGCAATTGAAGAGCCATAGATATATTAGTAAAACGCTAGAATGATTGCATTGTTCTTGAAGGACATTGCGTTAATGAATACAATCAAATTTATTTTCAAAATTTTTTAGCCAATATGTTATTGTTGCTCATTAAATTTTTTCAAAAAATTTCTTTAATATCTCTCCTTTACTAGAGTCCTTATATTTTTCAATAACTAAATATGCCATTTAACATGACATTTGTTACCAATTATTGTCCAGTTTCCACTTAATGAAGTTCATACGTGACATTAATTTCGTTCCTTAATTTCCTTTTCAATCATATGCTTATGGTTAATATTTTATAACATTTAATATATAATATAGTATAGTATATTTATTTATATATTTATTTATATATATATATATATTATATTATATATTATATATTATTATATGTTCATATATTATTATATTGATGAAGTTTAAATGAAGACTAAAGATTAGTGCGTAATGTGTCCTCTTTTACAAAAACAAAATCACAACAGTATGTTTCTACCTGTAAATATTTTGTTTGAATTTGTTCAAATTTAAATACGACGATTGTGGCGTTAGGCAAAAATTATTTCATTAGTAAAACAGTCTGTCTGTAGTCGATTTAACGATTTTCAAACGTAATCCTGCATTTTTAATCCTACAATTTCTCGATTGTATCGATTAAATTACAATTCACACAAACGAAAATATAAGTGAAAAACAGTTGACGAATTGTTCGTTTGCATTAACGAAACATGAACTAACCTTAACCATTTGCGGTAATCATTTCTTCGGGGGTGTTGTTGAGACTACAGTGCAGGTAATCGAGACTACAAACCAAAAACTATTGATGGTGGTTTTTTATTTGTAATATAAGCGGTATTTATCTGGGTACCTATGAAAACATTTTATTGTTAAGTTTGTGTTTTTCTTAAATACAGTCGTCTAACGTCGGTGAGAAGTGTTTAAACATAAAATAAGGATCAAATGAACAATAGAATCTAAGGAAAATACATGTAAGTAAATAGGTTCCATTAAACTAGATAAATACCTGCATAGCAAGGTGCATAAATCTGTGTAAGTACTGTGATTTTTAATAGTAAATTTAGTATTTAAACGGAATTCAAGCAGTTATATATTAAATATATTTAAACAGTAGTAGAAATAGTTACAGTGCGACTATCAAGCTGAAGTCTTAGCTCTGAAAATAGGATTGATTCATTAAAAGTGTTGTTATGAAGAAATTTTCAATACAAAAATATAATTAAATTATTTTATTTTTTTCAATAAATTACTTGTCACCTACAATTAAATAAATAAGACATAAATTCGCTATCATTGAAAGTGAAAATCCAATTTGGCGCGTACGCAGGTCAAATATTTCATTGATAAGATAAAATGTGAAAACTATTATCAAACAAAAGATTACCAACTAAAGCTAATCAAATCGCTTTAATAGCAAAAACATTAATAAAAATTTGTTAGTAAACGGAGGACAGTTACAGTGTCAAGTGTACGTTCCGGAAAACAAATAAAAATTATAAAATTTAATTAGCAAGAATTGAAAATAAAATTAAATTAAAATGGGTATGCTATGTGATGTACGACTGGATGAGGAACGCGGCTCTTATCAGCCGGGACAAATGATATCAGGACGAGTTGTGATAAAACTGCAGGAGCGCGTGCTAATGAAAGGTACTTCAATAGTTGTAAATTTAAACAATACAAGTGTGACTCATTGATTGATCAAAGATATTAAATGTTGATTAATAAATTTTATTTCTGATAATAATGCTTCGAAGGTATAAATATTTTGATATGAAACAAATGAATCATATCGGCAAAGTGCTACTATATATTTATATTTGACTGATCGAGTGATAAGAAGATAATTGTTTAAACATTATTTGATAAGAATTAAATATAATTTTTTAAAGATTGAAGTTCAAATAGAAGTACATTGTAATATAACTTAAGACAGCTTAAGTATGTTTATACTAACGCATATCTTCTCAAATTATCGTATAAGTTGTTACATTTAATTTTTTTCATCTGTTTTTTTTTAATTAATTATAATTAATTAAAGTGTTTGATACTTTAAGTGGTGTAAGATTAGTGTTTTAATCGTTTATTGTTGTGATGACTAATAAATCCAAAACCTAACTTAAGCAATTGATAAATTATACGCTTTATTAGTAAGTCTTTTGCATATTACTTGATTACTACAATTATGTTATAACTTCTGTCACTGTTTTTAATTAAATTTTTAATTAAGTTAAATACCTTAAATTTGATTAAGCATTTACTTCTTACACACTTATATCTTTTTAAAACAAAAAAAAATATTAAAAAAAATAATTATTAAAAATGTTTAATTTTATCTTAAAAATATTGATAATCGATATGAAAATTATTGTATTTCATTTTTCAATTAGTGAAAATACAAGTTTGTTTTTATCCGGAATAGCGGGGCTATTATTAAATAAAAAAATATTACACTAACTTAGAACTTTAAAATTATAATATATAAATATTGTTATTGTATTTAGAATCCATGATTTTGTAAACTAACCGTAAATTTTTATATGATTAACATTACATATACTAAATAATACATATTTATTGTTTTTTAGCTTTAGCCTTAAAAATCTCCGGATTTGCGGCCACAAAATGGGAGAAACCTGCAAAACAAAAGAATCAGAAACAAAATAAAAAGCAAAACAAAAAACAAAATAAAATGGCACCAGGAACTGAACAACCTCAAGTAGTAATAAAACCTGGTGATGTCTATGCAAATCGCGACGATTATTTGTCTACAATGAATTACTTTATCGGATCTGAAGCAGGTAAGTGAGTAAAAAAAATATTAATATAAGGTATCTAAATATCTTGATCAGATTCAATTAAACAAGTAAATTCGTCAATTTCTGATCTAAATTCTTATGTTAATACTAATTACAACCATGGGCATACACATATAGGGGCAGGGGGGATAAATTCAAATATAAGTTTAAGACTCAATTAATTCTATACATATTTTGTAAAATAGTTCACATGCAATTTAACGAAATACAGAATTTTTCTTAATTTTTCATCATCTCACATATTCAAAAAATTGATTCATTTCGTATTCCTTTCAGCACTACCAAAAGTCATTGAAGTAGGTACGTATTGCTACACTTTTGCTGTATGTTTGCCGGAAAAGTGTCCAGCAAACTTCGAGAGCACAATCGGGCACATACGTTATGAGTTGGAAATTTTCATTGATTATCCAGAACACAAATACACTTGTTATTCACGCAGTCTGTTTGTGCAAAACGTAGTCGACCTACGCACAGACCCTACCCTAAATGCCGCTTCAGATGTACAACAAATTGAGAAGAAATCATTCATGCAATTCTGGCACACTCCTTTGGAAATGCACTTGAATTTACCACAAACTGGTTACGTGCCTGGAGAGGGTATACCAGTGCAAGTCAGAATACAAAACAATGAACTTTTAACACTTACCGAACTAGTGTATAAATTAAATTTAATCGGTACTTATGTGGGTGCCTTTAAGAAGAAAACCGAAATCAAAGTCATACGCACCACTCTTTTAAAGACAGTGCACAATCTCTTCGGACAAAATGGTACCGTGGTGCAGCACATGCAGCTGTTGCATGTACCTGCTACAACGCCTACTACCGAATTAGCACAATGCAGATGCATACAAATTGCCTATGAAGTAGAAGTTACGGTGAATTCGACCAAAAAGAAACGCTGGCTGTGTGCGGCAATACCAATTAAAATCGGTACTATATCCTTGCAAAATCAAATGAAGTTGCTGCCAAGTGATGTGACAGGCAGCTCCACTGCCCTAAATGCTACACGTTCACTTGAGGATTTGACTGCGCCGACAAGTAATTTGTATCCTCGTTTGCCCACTGCACCAGCTTTGGAGGAGAGTAATGCTGATTTAGGTGCTTCTATGGCTTCACTGGGTGAGTGTGGTTGCAGAAATTTAATTTATGAACTTTTGTTCCATTCTTAATATTTCATTTCAATTTTTCAGCTTCTTGTTTAAAGGAAGCAGAGTACATGGGTAAAATAAATTTTAACAAGCAAACTTCGCACACCATGGCCGGTGACAAGGCGGATTTTAAGCCGCGTTATTTATACTATGATCCGGCAAATGGACAATCCCAAGAACAGCAGATAACATCAACAACAAATGAAAACCCCAATTTTGAACAAAAATTTTAAGAAAGCTTTAATTTTGTAGTTAAAAATAATTAATTTATTAATTTAAATTAATTTTTTAATTATCATAAGTATTATATACGTGTATAAGTTAACATATTTACTCACATACAAAATGTGTAGGCATCGTTTAATTATTTTAAATATATGTATTTAAAATGAATTATTTTGTTAGTATCTATATATGTACATTAATTATTATTAAAAAATGTGTTAAAATATTATATTTAAATATATTATTATTGAGATTATCTACACAGTTTAATTCTAATTAGTGTGTTTAATGTTTTAATAAGAGTTGTCATATATTCATATATATATATGAATATATATAATATATATAAATATATATATATATATAATATATATATATATATATTATGTTTGTGAAGATTTCAAGCATATATTTTCTGTCCTTCTGTCTATTTCGGTTCAAATTAGTTATTAGCTTTTGAGCTATTTGAGTGAAATATTGCACCCATATCCTTCGAGAGTGGACTTTGATCATTTTATGAAATCGTCCAGATCGGACGACTGTATTAGTTCATATGATAGTTATAGGATACAATTGGGTGTGAGCTTGGATGTGATAGAATATTCTTATATTTTTATAAGTTTTATAAGTATGTAGAATATTTTATTCATATCAGTTCAGATTTGGATATAGCTACCATATAAGCTGCCATCTAAACCAGTTTTGTTTTAAAAATTTTTTTATTTTCTGATGTATATACTTCAAATTTGAAAATTAAATATAACCTGAATGTTAGCTGACTAATAAAAACATGATTGGTTGGTTTAGATTCAGATATAGCTCGCATATGTATAAGCCAACGATTTATGTTTTTCTAATTAAGAATTTCGGTATTTGCTATAGAAGAGAATATGCGTGCTAAAAATTAAATCAATCGGACTGGACATGGAGCATATAAATTGATACTTCAGATTCATCTTATTCTATGAAAAACTTTTTTATGTATTAAAGCATTTATCTAAATTTGACTCTTTGGTAGATGCAACTGCTAACATGATAACATAACTGCTATCAACTTTAATACTTACTTAGTTGGCCATTACAGACGTGAGTCGTCCTTGGCCTGAATCCAACACCCTTCTAGTCAATGCACCTAACGCCTTTTGATCACTGTTGGTAATTGTCCAAGCTTCTGTGCCATATAGCAGAACAGGTCTGATAAGAGACTTGTAGACCGTGATTTTTGTTTGTCGAGTGAGAGCTTTTTTCTCAACTGCCTACTTAGTCCGAAGTATCTGTTGACACGAGTGATTCTTCGTTGTATTACTAGGCTTATGTCATTATTAGTGTTTCACTGGTTCCCAAATAAACAAAGTCTTTCACAACTTCGAAAATAAAAATGAAAATAAAAATATGGATGTTGCAGATATGTGGGGTTTTAACAGATCAGTGCCACAAAACTACGTTTTTGTGATTTTGGTGTTGTGAATTGAAAACCAAGCCACCAAATGATCCAGGATCATATTTATATGGATAGTTATTTAATACGGTGAAATCAACATCCATCAAAACATGATGTTAGCAGATGTTTGCAACTCATTGAATAGTACTTCAAAAAGATTCAGTATCAGAAACTGATCCAGAAGCTGTTCCATGGATTCTGTGTCCTGTTTTATATCTGAAAGCAATTCTCATTTATATTGAAATAAAGATATCATCGAAATCCGAAACATGTATGTATTATACATTGTGACCGAAAAGTTTCCGGAAATAAATAAATAAAACGCAAAATTCTTAATCTTCATCAATATTTATTTTATCTCCTTCAAAATATGCTCCATTAGAAGCGATACACAAATGCCAACGTTTCTTCCAATCATCAAAACATTTTTTATAGGCGCTTTCCGGTATGGCTTTGAGTTCCCTCTGCGAATTCTGTTTTACGTCTTCTATGGATTCAAAACGCGTTCCTCTGAGTGGTAATTTGAGGTTGGGAAACAGGAAAAAGTCACACGGTGCAAGATCAGGTGAATACGGTGGCTGTTCGATGGTATTTATTGAATGTTTGGCCTTAAAATCGTTGATAATGTTGAACAAATTGAGGTGAATCGGAACAAGCCGGGCGTTGACACGTCGCATACACAAATTGTCCACCAAAATCAAACGAGCCATCTCACGACCGATGCCTAGCTCTCGTGCTATCTCTCTAACACTCACATGAGGATTTTTGAACACGATTTCCTTTGCCTTTTCAATGTTTTCGTCGGTGGTAGAGGTCGAAGGTCGTCCAGAACGCGGCATGTCTTCGACGGTCGTACGACAGTCCTGAAAGGCTTTGTACCACTCATAAACTTGAGTTTTCGATAAAACTGATTCCCCATAAGCCTTTTGTAGCATTCGCAACGATTCTGCACACGAAATTTCGTTCGAAAAACAAAATTTGATGCAAACTCTTTGTTCAATATTTTTTTCCATTGTTTTTTTCGCAACGCACTACTGAGGTGAACTGGTTTCAACAGCTGCCGTAAACGAACTGTCCGACAGATCGCGCTCATTTTTGGCATAGTAATTAAGGACAGTGCTGCCAAACTACATAAACTTAAAATATCGAAAAATATACAGCGCGCGAATTTTAAATGAGAATTTCCGAAAGCTTTTCGGTCACAATGTATTAATATTTCCTTTAAGAACATACAACTGAATATGTACTATATTCAGTTTGTAGAATATTGCTCCAGAATTAATTTCTATAAATTCTGCACCAATAGTTTTGAGAATTCTTCTTTTATGTTAAGTTGGTAATACTTTAACTTACAATAACTCCTTTATTGTACTTTTAGTCATCTATGATTTTATATACAAAAATAAAAACCATATTCTTAGAAGTTTAATACAACTTATTATTTGAAAATAAAATTTAATTATATGAATATTCACAATAAATGTATTACATACTTATAATAACATTATTTATAATATATGTATAAATTATTTGTACTTAGTATTGAGGTAGATTGTTCTATGTAAAATGTATTTGAACACAAATTTGTGTATGCATTTATTATTTATTATTTATAAGGGCAAAATTCTCCATATCATATGATCGTCGATCACCATATTTTTTGTGATTTTAAAATGTAAGTTAAAAAATTGAAAGAAATAACAAATATGGCGTTCGATGATCATATGATCATTTGCAAAACATAGCCCTAAGTCTCTTTGTTTTTAGTGAGAATTGCAAATAAAAACGATGGCATTTAATTTGTAATTAAATAGGTTTTACTTCACTTGTGTGTGGTAAGTACGGGTCTAGTACTTACTTCTAGTTGTTTTTCAAAAGCCCGCTATTATATAAAGGATATTAATAATGACAACAACTAAATAGTGTTTCATTGCAAATTTTTGACAGATGAAAAGATAAAAATTTCATTAAATTTTAATTATCTCAATGTACTTTCAAAATTCATTTAGTCCTTACTGTATATAATTGAAAATGCTTTGATTTAAACAGTCAACAAAATAAATAACTACATTAATTAGACTAAATTCAAGTCCAATTAGGTTAGGACCTGTAAGAAACAAAATAAAGCTGGTAGTACATCAGTGTAGGATAGTACTGTCATTCTTTCGCCACTATATAAATAAGCACATACATAGTATATGATATATTCGGGACAGTTGTGGTCCAATTTATTATTAAGTTTTTAAAAGGGGGGCACTTGATGAGTCCTCAGATAATGGCGCAGGTGGTTTAGAAATATTTGATTGCTTCGGTCCATTAATTTTATTTGTTTGCTCAAAAGAGGGTGGTTCTGGAATGAAGAGATATAATTATAGTATAATTTTTTTTAACTTAATTAAAATTGAATAAGTCTATGTTTAAAAATAAGTTGAAAAGTTATACGTTGCAATTTCTGTTTTCAGTAATAGGAAAGTTATTGCATATTGTATACATATGTCTTAAAACATTAAGGCACCGGAGATTTACAAATTGTAAGTCCTAGTAAAATGTCATATTATTCCATATGATATCATTTTAATAATAACGAAATTAGATATTATAATAGTGATAATAAGAGTTATTAAAAATTAATATGTTGACAAACAATATATAACAATTGATTTTTAGTATAATGTTTATATTTTTATACCCGTATCTATGCGAATTTAATTTTTACTTTTAATATATTATTTACTCACCATAAGAATCATAGCTTGGTGGTAGATCTGATGTATACGGTGTTGATGTGTCTAACGATGGCGCAGTGGGCAAAGCCATTGCAGTCGCATTGGCGCGATTACTTGCATTTTGTCTCAATGGTACAGTGCCAATAATAATTGGCACTTCTATTTCTGCAACCTTATGACATACACCGGCTTTAATAAAAACTTTCAAAAAATATGCTATAGTAATAATGCCCTCATCATTTTTAGTGGGTGGCACTTTCGGTACCAGTATACTACCCTCTATAACTTGTTTCTGTTGGCGATAGCATGTAAACTCTTTTTCAGCTTTTGCAACAGTATTCTTAAGTGAACGTATGAGATATTCTGGCGTATGAGATATAAAAGTATAAACTTGGTGTAATTCCAGTGCTATACCATATATATCATAGCTATTTTCTCGATTGTTAAGTTCAAGTTCATATTGAATTTCTTGGTCAGGTACATAGCCACTAAATGGCAATGTGAGAGTTGATATAAGTGGTCCTGAAGTGAACTTCCAGCAGCAAAAATATTTTATGCTTTCAGCTTTTAAAGGTATCTAAAAATATGAAATATGAAAAAAATCTTTATTGTTTCATCTTTTATATACCAAAGCATCTGGACAAAAATTTAAATCCATTGGCTTTCGCACAAAAATTCGTTCTGTGTAAACAATGTCGGGATGATTTTGTCGCTCAATCGTTAAAGAAACTTCATATGTTATATGTCCGAATTTTTCAACGCAAGATGACCCACATATTGTTGGTAATGCTTCGGAAAAGGTGTACGTATGTAAACCTGCTGGCAGTACGTTAGCTCGAAGTAGTCTTTTAGTTGAAATTGCATAATTTTCAGTGGCGCGAAATTGTTCAAGATAATATTCAGTTTTATTATATCTTATTTTGCGTGATCTACGTTCTTCAAAAAACACTGTAGATGCACCTTTGAACGATATGTAGACTTCTGAAGGGGAATACACATAATACATAATTTAATTGCTGCTCCTTAAAAACTTATTAAGGATTTGAAATGAATAGGTTTGTTTAAAAATTAACTTTATTAAATCTGATTTAAGATGAAATATTTTATAACAATGAAAATGATCGTTTTTAGCATTTATTTATAGAATAAAAATATATTCTAATAGTAAACTAATATTTTAAATAAAATCAATTAAAATAATATGTATTTTATATCAGTCAAATTCTTTAGAAGATACTTTAAAATAGATTCTATCACAACACTTCAATAATTTCCAAACCTCAGTAGATGCATAAATTCTTCTCATCTTAAGCGATCAAAATCGGATATTATTCACATTTGCCGGAAGTACACAGATATTCTAAAATTTCACTACAGTTTTATTGTAAAATGAAGAACAGACTTCAAAAAAAAAGGCGAACTCGATGAAACTTTAAAGAAATATGTATAAGTTATTTCATATTATTTTATCTATTATTTTTTTTAAAATGTCAAAAATACCTAAAGACGCTAGACTGCTTTAAAACTAAGACTTAGAAGACAACTGTTTATCCAAATGGCACACGGTAAATAATTCTGTTCTGAATCTGATCTTCTGAATCTATAAATAATAATATATTTGAAAAAGTAGGCAGATTAAATAGACTATCACCACATATTCATACTGTAAATATGGAATGAATATATGAATATGAATATACAATCAAATTACAATGTAATCCAAATCACTTTGCTTTACTGAAATCATTTATTATATATCATAGTGCTATTTAATACATTTGTATAAGGTTGTCTTCAAGTTTTAAACTAAAAATGACCTGCACAGGAAAAATAATCAATTGAACTGTATTATTTTACTTCAGGATCTGCGCAGCTCTTTATATAAAATTTTGCAAGATATTTATATTTTGTACTAGTAAGAAATAATATACATTTTATATATATTAAAAAATTAATAAAATTATTTTTAAAAGTTGTGGATATATGTAATATATCACCATTAATACTCTGCAATTATATAGTATTAAATTTCTTGTTTGTTTAATTCATTCTGACATATTCTTTTGTTCTATTATCAGTTTATATCTATATTATTCTCATCATTTTAGGTTCGAATATAACATCAAGCCTTACATTTTGACTTTTTAAAAATAATTATAAAAAAATTTGCTTGAAAATTGCTTGGAATTTGGTTCGGTTTATATTGTATGTAAAATAAATTGGCTAAAAACAAATATCAATGTGTTTTATTTAAAATTATTATAAGTATATTTAATATTAATAATAAAAACCTATAAATAAAAATTATATAGTAATTTTTTTTGTAATGGAAAAATAAAATTTTCTACTCTTCCCTCGTAACAAATTTGACTAGGCGTAATTCCTACACGTGATGAGTTCAATGAACGTGATTAAAAAATTATTGTCTTGTGTATACTCTAGAGAGATAGTAGTTAAAGTTTGAGTAGCCATTACTCAAGGTAACAGATTTATTTATGAGGTTAGCATTTTGTTTATTACAGAAGTACCATAATAAGCATTTCTATCGACTATACAGTATATAGCGCGCATTTGAGTCACTCTCAATTGGCTAAAAATATTGGTTTGTTATGATAAACAAATGCGAGTACTCATTGCTTCGTATATATGTATGAATACGACTTTATTATCTTTTTATATTTTTGTTTTGATGTCTAAGATTAGAAACTATTTTATTGGGCTAGTCCATAAATAACGCAGAAAGCAACAAGTGAGATATATAAGAAAAATTTAATATAAACATCAAAATATGGAAATTTATGAATTCTAAATAAATATGTCACGCTTTTTTATTTAAATTAGATATTGAACTCTTTTGCCAAAATACATTTTTTTGTTGTCTATAAGTTTTTCAGTTATAATATGTAGTTGTAAATAATATTCAATTTTTTGTAAATTATTGAAAAATCTTAATTTTTTAATAATAATAATATTGTTGGATCGGTTGAGGAAACCTGGAACTCTGTTGCATATTTTTTTATTCAGCCATACTTCGCTGGTTGTTTTTTGTTAATTATTTTAAATAAAATTATAATTTTAAAATTTATCTACATACACGTAACATATGTACTTTTACAAACATTATTATTTTGTTCATATTTATATGGTATCAAAATCTATTAAAAACTAATATAATTACTTACCTGCAACGAATTCGTCATTTTCGGTATGTAAGTCAACACGACCATACACCGTTTCTCCACTATAATATATTGGTTCTGGGCGATCGAAACCAAAAACGCAAGTAGTCATTTTTTTCCGAATTAGGTATATTTACTATATCTAATTTTTCCACTTTTTTGTTTCTATTTTATCTTTAATATCTATATATTATCATTTACTTTCCGAAACACTTTCTGTAACTAAAAATATGTAAACTTAAATACTTTCAATTTAATTATAATTTCATAATTTTAAACAAATTTCTAGAAATCTTCTTATAACAGAAAAAAGCGTGTCCAACCCACTTCAGTATTTTTAAACTAATGGAATGATAATATGTTGTTTAGACTCTCAAAATTTGGAGAAGGGCGAAAGCGCTGTGGATAACCAACATAAACATGTGTAAGATTATTACTACGAGTACAACAACAACAAAGATAAATATTTTATTACCTCTTATATATGAAAGCACAAAAAAGCTTTCATATATGCCAAACAAACTGACGTCATCAACGCATTTTGGGCGCAATTTGAAGTTGTGTTTTGTTTTGCTTAATAAAATAGAGTTGTCAAGTCCAGATAAATGTTAATGTTGTGTTAAGCGTTGTATTGTGTGTTATTCATAACTAAAGACATAAAGTTTATGGAGATGTTCTCTTATAAGAAAATTATAGTCACCCAATCAAATAGTATTAAATATAACCAAATAAAAAGGTTGTTAGTGGAATAGATTACTGGAATCTGTTCGAGAAGAATACGGCAAGTCTCGCCGTAATACTGGATTCGCTCGAGAGTTTTGTTTGTAATTTAAGCTGTCAAAAATTTCAGTATAACCAAAAAATTTATACGATAAATGTTAGATATATCATAGTTATGACTATTACAGATCGGAATGCGGTAAATGACATTCATACTGTCGCATTTAGGCACTTGCTCATTTATATTAATGAGTGAACGTTCACATTATATTGAGCTCATATATGCAGCTTCACTTTATAATATATCACACAAAACAAATGAATAAGTAAGTGATATGTTAAATCATTTCTATACATCGATCTATCATAATATAAGCATATTTGCGAAATATCTTGTACAATGAAATGCTGATGGTTGGATTGTTTTGTGTAATTACACAAATTATAGTTTTCAACAACAATGTTTAGTAATTTCAGTTATACTACTTGTTTGTTTACTGTATTAGATTTAGAAAAACTATTATTGAACTTCACTAGATAAATAATTTACTAGATAGATAATTTAGATAAATTCAAAATGTTCAGAGAGCTTTTTGGGTGTTCTTTAAAAATAAGTGGCAAACGTACAATTAATTAAAATACACATGGGCTTCCGGAGAGATAAACTTTGCAGTAAAAATATATTAGCATAAGTACTTTACATATATATCTCCGTATATTATTGGAAATACTATACATTAGATGTAAAAGCAGAAGAGAAATAATTTGAAATAGAAAAGTTTGTTGTTAATAAATTTTTTTTGTGATTGCTCCAACATTTTTGTGCTTTTTGCATTAAAAATAATTATTTAATTATATTCTAAACTCAAAGTTCAAAGAGAAGCAAATTGTGTCTGTTAGTAATTAGAAATATTTATTTTATTTGCAAAAATATTTCAATATGTTTTTATAAGTTTTTTATATCTGAAAAATTATGAAATATTTTATTTTAGTTAAGGATTTTTGTATTTCAATAATATAACTTCTTCTTTTAGCATTTCAGTTTTAATTGTAAGCAAAGAAAGTATGTTTCAACATTGACTTAAAAGCGTTAGTCCTATTTCATATTTAAACACAATTTTTCAATATTATTCCTATAATAAATATTGTACATCAGAATGTTCATTATCTTGTAACGTAATGTAATATAAAAAACTTCTTTTTCAGAATAGTAATATGAGGACAATGCTGAACGTTCTTCTTGATTTAGAATGAATTGTTCCATTGTTTTAGCAAAATTAATAGAAGATTAGTCCCAAAAGATCAGGTGGTGAATGCAAAATATAATCTGGGAGTTTTACAACGATTGTAGAACAAAATACGAAGAGTCCAACCAAAATAACGAGAAAGACACAGTTGTTTGTTGTTGTTCAAAAATACGCCTTAGCTTGAACCCATTATACTTATAAATTATTCACCAAAAAAAGCCATCATTGTAATCGATAATTCACCATAAGGGGAATACCTTATTTGATTCTGGTTATTCCTTAAAGGAAATCGTTTTGATAGCATCCGGGTCATCTAAAAGGCTTTGACTGTTATACTTAATGACTCAGAGAATTAATAAACACTTTACATTTGCTTTCAGATTGGTCTAACAGAGCTTGGGACAAACTTCGTAGAGCTTCACATTGCAAAACTCATTTTTATTAATCTAATTGTAAGGTAATTTTTTTAACAAAACAGATGTTTTGTAAAGTAACTTTACTTTATTAGAATAAATTGAAATCTTCAGATATGTATGTAGAAAAATAGTGATAATCATTCCTCATGAAAATCAATATTCTTCTTAAAATGGATTGCATAAAATAAATGTTAAAAAAAGACAGATGTAAACATAAAGTAAATACTAAATGCTGAGTGCCCAAAAAAAACTTTAACAATATGAGAGGCAACCTATTAAAGTTAAAAATATATATAAAAAAATATATATAAAAAAATATATATAAAAAAATATAAATAAAAATTATTTCAAAAATATCATTTATTTTGTAAAAATCGACTGAGGTATACAGTTTACGTAAAGCACATTTAAAAGGCATATTAAGTATACAAATATACATATTTTTAATATATATGGTAATTAAGGTAAATGCATTAAAACATATCAAATAAAACAATAATTAATGTATTAGATTTAAAATAAAATAAATCAGAGATTATTTTAAAGCTAACTTCAAGCATAGAAGATATAAGTTGAGCTAAAACTTTAAGTTCTCCAACCATACCCGTCATTACCATTACTTGATGTAGATGGCATATTACCACCATTCACTGGATATGGTGGCATGGTAATTTCAGTTGGCGGTGTGACAGGATAAGGAGGAGGCAGAATACTTTGCTGCTGAGATTGCAAAAGTGGAGCACTTTGTGGTGCATCAACATTGTCTCCAGATGGTGGCGCAGTTGGCTCAGAAAAATTTGTATACATAGGATATTTTGGTATGAAATCGTCTGTACGATTATATTCGTCAGCTTCAGGATCTTTAAACTTTTCACCAATATTAGTAGCTTGTTCAAATGAGGGTGGTTCTAGAATTCGAAAATTTTTAGTAACAGTTAGTGAATATACTATAGAAGTGTTACTTACTATAGAAATCATAGCTTGGAGGTAGATCGGGACTATTGCCTGCCGGTATATCAATGTAAGGTGCAGTAGGTAAATTCATAGCAGCAGCGTTAGCAGGATTTGTGGCACTTTGTGCTAGTGGAACTGTACCTATAATAATTGGTAACCTTACTTCTGAATCCGTGTGACAATCACCGGTCTTAATGAACATCTCGAAATAGTAACGAACACTAATAATACCGCCATCTGTCATAGTAGGTGGTACTGGCGGTATGACCAGACTACCCTCAATTACACGTTTCGAGAAGCGTAAACATCGATTTGCCTGTGTATCTTCTGTCAAAGTGTTGGTGTGCTCACGTGTTTTATAGCGAGGTGAATGGGCTATGAAAGTGTAGACTTGTTTTAGTTGCAGCTCTATACCATCTAAATCATAGCCGCTGGACTGATTATCTATTTCTAATTTATATTTTATAGATTGTCCAGGTGCATACCCTCCAAATGGTAATGTAAGTACTGATATCAAAGGACCCGAAGAACATGGCCAACAGCAAAAATATTTGATGTCTTCACTTTTTAAAGGTATCTGAAAGTTTAAGCAGTAAATTCTAGAGTTTTTTGTGAAAGTTTTTTTTATTAGTATATTAATCTAACTTACCAATGCATCTGGAAAATAATTAAGATCGAACTGTTTCAGCACAGTCAGTGGTTGTTTGAACACATTATCAAAACGAAATGGTCTATTAAGTACTAATGATATTTCATAGGAAATATGTCCATATTTTTCAGTACAAGATGTTGGACATGCTGGCGGGAGTGGTATGCAGAATGTATATGTATGTGTGCCTGGTGGAAGCTCGCCAGGCGGAAATACTCTGGTTCGCGTATTTAAGTAGCTTTCATTAGCACGAAAATATTCCGTGTAATGTTCTGTTCTATTATTTGATCTTCGTGATCGGCGTTCCTCCCAACGGACTGAAGCCTCACCTTTGAAAAGTATATAGACCTCTGGAAACGAATGGAAAAATTAAAATTTTTCTGTATCAAATATTTATCTGCAATTAAAAATGAGTATCTGCTTTCTGTGCAATTGCTTTATTTTGGTTATAGTTTGGTTGTGTACGTTTTTTATTCGTTTGGACTTCTCTTGAATTTATTAAAAATATTTCCAAATTTTTTTTTTATTATATGCGAGTTTTTAATAACTTTTCTTGTTTTTTATGTGATGTATATTTTTTTTATTATTTTTTAATTCATACATATAATATTGTAGTGAATGTTTTCGAAAATTATGATGTCTCAAGAGAAATACAAAGTTACTCAGTCTTTAATTAGATGAAGTCATAGTAATACCAAGTAAATGCATAAATTTTCTTTATTAGATAAAACTCGTTGAATAACTACTTTGATGTAGTAACATAACTATATCACTTATAAATATGTTGGACCCTAAGAAAGTATAGTTGAGGACAAAGCATTCTATCTATATTAGGTGAAGATTATTGATAACTTGATGCTCATTTGTTACAAAGAAAAAACATCTTAACAAACAATAGGCATCTGTAATCAAAGTGTTTAGAACAGGTCCATAACCCAAGTGACCACTTGATACAAATCAATTTATAGTATGAATCTCTTTAAATATTATGTGTAAGCGCTGGAATTGATTTTGCACTATAATAGAAAATTTATCGATTGAAAAGAATTCGTAATTCAAGTAAAACCAAACAGTTTTTTTTAAATCCACTATTAACAATTAGGGTAAAAAAAAGTAATGGTAAAACTGTTATTTAAGTATTTAGATTATAACTGATAATTTTTTAAACATGCAATCCGTCAAAATTATACACGTCAATGAGGCATGTGTGAATATACTGAGAAGGTACAATATCTGTTATATTAGAACATGCACTCATATTTTTTTTTAATTTTTTAACAATATGTTTATATATTTTTCATTTGTTTGTATGTTTATAATAATTTTGTACTTTCCCTAATAGTGTACTGTCCATAAGAACTAAAGTAATGTGGAAAGCATTTTCAGTTATTTTTAAAAGATTTTAGATCCACTACTGAAAATGGAAAACTTGTTCGGTAGCCAACCAATCAACGTTTTAAAACAATGGAAATTTGCTATTTTATGAAGTATAATGTAAATACGAGAAGTTATGTTTTATTACTAAATTTTACTATTATCGTAAACTTTATATATACCTAAGGTATTTAGCTTATATACATATATATTAAATTCGGAAAATCAATTTTATGCATTTCCTAAGGATGAAGGTATAGCCTTCCATTAGTAAAGCGTATTATCCGCGTATCTGGTTGAATACAATAAATACTGCTTAAATAAAAAAAAAAGTCGTTCCGTCCTATGGATTCATTGCTCTATTATTCGAAATATCACTATATTTTCTTCGTTTTGCTACAAAACACATTAAAATTGTTTATCAATAGTATACTTGATTATTTTGAATATTAATTATAGTATGCTTTACATAATCAAGATCTTTTATGGATATATGTATATGATTCCTCTTAATGGTTTATATTTTTTTAATAATAAATTCAAAATAATGAAATTTACAGAAATTCTACTGATTATTTTTTTTCTGGAATAAGCACATCAATTGAAGAAGTAAACCATATGAGGGATTAAGTACTAATATCGATTGGAACATAAAGATCTTAACCAGTTACTGGTAACAAAAATGCATGTAGTATTGTAATCCAAAGCATAAACTAGCATTTGTAGAACGTAATGAGTCATGGTTGATCATCAGTTCCATGCCAATAAGATAATTTTTTACATTTGTTGGGATCAGATAAGTGTTCTATACGATAAACTGTTGGCGATCGTTAATGAATGTAACACTAGCCGTATTCGACGTATATTGCTTCATCCGAATATTACTTGTCTCAATCGATGAGCAATACGGGCAATGGTTCAGTGAATTTAAAAAAATCGCATAATAGTTATTGAATTGCATTGCTTCTAAACATAAAAATTCTTTTAGCGCGGTATTGTCTGAGGGGTAAGAAGTATATTACAATATCTGATAAACATTAGTGTGAGTAATGAGTTTTTTTCTCAAAAACATACATATATGTTCTTATTAACTTAATTTTAAGATTTTGTCGTTTCCACTAGTGATAAAAGTTATTGAATGTGAAAATTTCAAACAAATAACACAAAAAATTAAACGCTTAATTGATATATTGAATCATTTATATACATTTTATATATCAATTACATATCAATTCAGTTAATAAAAATAAAGATTTTATTACATATTTACTTCCTCAGTGCCTTTGTTTACAGCGCAGCTGTTGTTTGTTTACATTTTACATATGATATAATATATATGACAAATATTTCAACTTTTGGTAATTTTCCTTGTGGGAAATTTATTTTTAAGGGTTGCATTCAAGAATTTTTGCCATAAATGAGCTGATTTATTAATAATGGGCTCATTTATCATTTTTATAGCGGTTATAATGAGCAAAATTGCATAAATGAGAGAGTGTGAATGTACAATTAGTGCGTCACTTACTAATTAAGCAGTGAAAACATACTATAAACAAGAATATATTTGCTAAAAACAAAATTTGGAGCCATGTAATATGTTCATACAGCCAAATTTCCTTAATTTCGTAAAAATGAAATTAAGTTAATTTTGAAAGTGTTTATACTGCCCCCAATTAAGGTAATCATATGTTTTTGTTTATAAATCGAATGTTAAAAATTACATGCTTTAAATTCAATTTGTATCTGATAAATTCTAAATGTAGATTATTATAACTATGAAGGATGGTATTTAGTAGTTTTATGGGCTTTAGTGGATTTCAGGTATGTGAAATTTTATTATTTAATAACAGTTACACTTTTTCTCTATATTCAAATTTAAAAATTTGCACAACTTTCAAAATATTTTCCCAGTTTTATTATAGTCAACTGTCACTGACATTTATTTAAGAAAAAAGTCACTTTCTCGTTATCTCAACTTTATCTTTGGCTTAAAATTTATCTTACGCATAGTTGCATTTGAAATGTCACCTGAATTCAGCCTTCGTTTTAACAAAATTAAGGCCATTTTCCTTAATTTCGTTCTAACTTTAACACTGAATTTTGTATGGAGAAAACAACTTAATTTAGTTTTCGACGAAACTAAGATTTTTGCGAATTTAAGGTGTGTTAAACATAGTAATCCTTAAACATGTTTAAGGTAAACATAGTAATAATTAGAATTGAAGATATCGGAACCAAAAGTGAGAGTGGGTGATATGGTGATAAACTGGGAGGATAGCGTTAAATATCTCGGCATCACGTTGGACAAACGATTCATATGGCTTAAACATGTTCAACTGAAAAGAATTAGCTGCGCCAAAATTCTTCATTACCTCCAACCGCTATTCAAAAATGAAAATCTCAGTGCTAAGAACAGGAAACTGATATATAACCAAATAATTTGTCCGCCATTTCTATATGGTTGTGTAGCGTTTAGCAAAGCTTCAAACACTACTATTCACCAGTTAGAAATTGCACAAAGCCAGATTCTGAGAAGACTTTTCAAAGTTCCTTGGTACATTAGGACGAATGACATCCTCGGGGACCTCAAGATTGATCCCATCAAAAAATACATAAAGAAAAGAGCCCTGAAATTATTTGCGAAATCTGACAGACTTACTAACACTGCGTTATCAAATCTCAGAATGGTTACAGGTTCCTCGGGGAGATATGCAGATCTGAGGTCAATTATTGCCTAGTCTAATGAAGTGATAAACAATAATCCAGTCAAGGCGCAAAGAGAGGTTTTGTAGAAACCTCGCAGTTAATAGAGAGTAAAAGTGCTCAGGTGCACTGACTCAACTCACCTACCCTCAACATATATTTATATATAATTTGACACACATAATTCAATCTATATAACATCGAATATATCGTAATGTCAAAATAATTATTAGTTTCAAATAATTATTTTTATATGTAGTCACAGTAATACTTTAAAAAATTTAGTCACGTTTTCTACATTCTTAGCGCAACAATAAGAAACAGTAAACCCTTTTCGGTCTTTCTGAGAATTATTCAATTTTTGGCCATAAACCATTATTCAAATTTTTATTGACAGAATTTAAAAGAATAGGGAGTAGCCTCTGGCGTAGCCTTTTTTAGCGTATTGGATATAGTTTCTCACAAATATATATATACTGTATGAGGTCTCGTATGTCTACTTTACTGCGTGGAGAGTATAGTACTGAACTCAGTCCTAAATTTTTCCTTTCGCCATGGCAAACTAATTGGTCGCCACATTGACCTTAATTGCAATTATCTTATGGTGTGGATATACACAAAAGAGACATTATTTGTGTGGGTGTCCTTTCCATGTCAACTGTTACATATGTGCGTGTAGATGTACTCTTCGTACGAATTGCTCTTTGTATCCCAAAAACGTTTTCTAGTACCGATAAGCAAATATACTTTTGTTTGCTTTAATGTTTAGTGTTTCTAATCGCTTTATTTCATTTTCGAAGATTATGAACTATTTTACTAGAGCATTTCCAAGTAAAATAAAATAAAAAGCAACAAGTGGAACATAAAAGAATTTTAATAAATACGTTTTCGGCTTTTAATTGATTATTTAATGCTGTTTGAGTGTTTTTGCTACAATGAATTTATAATGAAATGCTAAAGCTATTATGTTTGCTGTCTATTTGTAAATAATATTATTTAATTTTATGCATATCATACACCAACAAAGTTCACAGAAGCATATGCGCTTAATATGATATGCTGGGGAAACCCAGTAGTTTAATAGAAGCTAAAACTTTTCAGTTATACACTAGTATGTCTTATACCGGCTTCTATGTATGTCAATATGTTTATTTTTAAAAATATCTGTTTGTAGTACACTTATCGGCAACAGCAATTATTGCTGTTGTAATTCTAGGAAAACCTGTTGCGATTACTTGCCTTTAACAGACTTCACAGTTGTGGTATGCAATTGAATGCGTCCATTTATTGTTTCTCCACTGTAGTAAACGGGGTCCGGTCGATCAAATTCAAAAACACAAGTCGACGGCATTCTTACGGTGAATTTGTTATTAATTTATATAATATAATTATACAAATTATATTTTTTTATATTTAAAAATCACTTTCGTTACGAATAAAATATCACTTTGGTAAGTTTCTTATTTAATTATTTTTAAATAAATTTATAAAACATTTCTAAAAGCTTAAAAAACGCGTCCGTTCAACTTCGACATTCTCAATTAAATGCAGCGGCGACGTTTGTTTTGTAGCAGATAGCTTTTTAGATTCTTCAATGGGAGAAAACATTATGAACTACCAAAATAAATATATACAAACAACAACAACAATGACAGTGAAAGATTCCAAACATTCTTTTTTGGCTCACAAATAAAACTACAAAAAAGTTTTAACCGAAAATGCTTCAAAAACTGACGTCATCGAAGCATATTGAGGGCGATTTCATGTTGTGTTTTGTTTTGATAACGAAAACAGAGTTGCCAAGTGCCGATAAGTGATTGTGGCTTACTTCATAAATTGTGTTTTTTTTCGGTTTATGATTAAAAATATAAAAAAGAATTTATTTAAATATACGTTATGTCAAGTTGAAAACATTTAACCAAGTCGAAAGTGAATTTAAAACAAAACAAACAAAAATTTTTTTTTATATTAAAAAAAATAAATTGTTTATGGAATTGAAATTAAATAATAAAAGAATTTTTTATTATTCATTTTAAATCATTTCTATATTTTCATTTTCTGTTCATATATTGACTAATTTAATAAATTTCGTTCAAACAAAGGCTAAAATTAAGGGACATTTCAAATGCAACTATGCGTAAGATAAATTTAAGCAAATAAAAAAGATGAGATTACGATAATTGACATTTTTTTTTAAATAAATGTCAGAGACAGTTGAATTTAATAAAACCGGGAAAATATTTTAAAATTTTTAAATTTGAATATGAAGAAAAAACAAACTGTTATTAATTTAAAATAAATAGAAAAATAATAATTTACATATCTGATATCCACTAAAGTTAATTACACTACTGAATACCATCCTTTATAGTTATAATAATCTACATTTAGAATTTTTCAGATACAAATTGAATTTAAAGCATGTAATTTTTAACATTCGATTTATAAACAAAAACATATGATTACCTTAATTGGGGGCAGTATAAACACTTTCAAAATTAACTTAATTTCAATTTTACGAAATTAAGAAAATTTGGCTGTCTAAACATAGCATACGTTTTATATGATATATTCATGATATGATTTATTCTGATGGTGTAATTACACAAAAGCACAAATTTATTTTAAAAATGTGTATCGGCAGTACTATAATTATTTTGTTTACTTAATTAGATTGAGAAATGTGCTTATTCAATTTTTCTCAAATATTCGAAATCTCATATAATCTCAGAGAGCTTTTTGAGTATTCCGTTGGCATTTGCAGCACATATAAAATATACATAACCCGGTATGATAATTAGAATTTATAAATTTAAATGATGCGCTACCAAAGACAAACTGTTTGAAATACAAAAATACAGATTATTGACAGTTCTTTAGGTGTGTAGGCATGTAGACAGTAGTTATATGAATATATATATATATATATATATATATATATGCATGTCTATGTATAAATTTTGATTTTAAATTATTTGTTATACAAATTGTTGCTTTAAACAGGAATTCGGCGATTCGAAGTTGTTTGAAGTTAACAATTTATCTGTGCAATATTGATTTTAGAAAAAACTTCGATGAAAAAATTTTATATAACAAATATAATAAGAAACATTTTTATATGCAAAACAATTAGTAATATACGATATATAATTTATTATGTCTGTCATATATAATAACAAACATAGTTTTAAAAATAATAATAAATAAGTTATATGATAAATACTGTTATGAATACTATCTTTATTGGAATGAATGCGGTTTATTAAATTACGAAGTATAGTATTTAGTGCACTATATTTAATTAAAAACTATTTTAGTATAAGCAGCTTTAGTTAATTGTATACTAACTAGATAATAAAAAAAGTTACCGAAGTCTTCTCAAAGTTCGATATTAAAAGTAAAGTTCAAACAGATACAAACATAGAAACATACGCTCTATATTCTCAACTAATAATTAAATGTAAAATAATTGTTTATTAAAATATTGTGTGATTATATATTACTTAGCTTTGTTAATACATGCGTGTCTAAATACAAATATTATAATAACCAGGGTTGTTACCTGAAATGAATTTTAAAAGGGATTTATTGGTTAAAAACGGAAAGTTTTGCGATAAAAGCTTTATCTTTTCATTAATTGAAATATCCCAATGAATCGGAATTATAGTAGCGAGTTTATCAAGACCAATTACATTTCAAAAAGAGTTTTGATTTCAAAAGTTATGAAGAATTCATATCGTAAGGAGGAACAATTTCAATTGTTCAATTTCATAGATCTAGAATTTTAAAACGTCAGCAGATGCATCAGACATACATACATTACTCATATATGCAGTTTATCGGTTTTGAGCTCTTCAGCTACGTGAAATTCTCCCCTGACGACATGCCTATCGACAAAGAATGATTGGTTTACCGAATTTGTTTGATTTAAATAGTTAAGTTTTAAATATTGCAAAAAACTAAGGCATTAGCTCACTTGAAAATGTGTATCGCGAACAAAATAAGTAAAAACACCAGAGAGTCTAGATGGCATACCTAACGTCGTAGTAAAAGTCGTAATTGCAACTTTCCCGGGAATGCAACTTTCCCGATAGCTTTGTGGCAGTATTTTAGAAGTGTCTAAAGGAAGGAATCGTATACTCATATCGAAAGAAAACAAACCATCAGAGGATCCATCTTTTCATCGACTGATTTGTAAGATGCTAGAATGTATAACATATAACAGCTTAAATTCAGACATGTAGGAAGGAAATGCGTTATTTGAAAATCAATTTGGATTTCGAAAGGCTAGGCTAGCCATAGATGCGATTAAAGTAGTAGTTGATAGAGCAGAGACTGCCAAGGGTAAAAGGTAGTGGAATATTGTGCAGTAGTAACCCTAACCCTATTATTTTACTCATATGTATTCGCTCTGTGTAAATAAAATGCGAATGTATGACGTCAATTATTTTTTATTGTAAATATTTTTATAATTTAGTAGCGAATAAATATTAAATTTTAATAGACATTAGTTACTTACAATTTTCACTATTATATAACAAAGTGATTTATATGAATTTTCATCGAAAAAATACATGGTTATATTAAATTTCTATTGGTGACTCAATAGGTGGCTTTTCTTTTTGAATTTCCTGTGGTGGTTGGGGGCTCTTCTTCTTTTTTCGACGACGCTTAACCGGTGCATTTGGTGCAGGAGTTTGGTTTGTGGCATTTGCCACTAACATATTGTCTACATCGTAGACAGGGTAACGAGGTGTAAAACGTACAGCATCAGCTTCAGTATCGGCATCATTATTAACAATTTCTGTACTCATAAACATAGCTTCTTCATATGTGGGTGGTGCTGCATTTAATAAGAAAGTCATTTTTTAAATAATTTTTTAGCAAATATTTTATAAATTACATATATATAAGAGCAAATATTTTATGAATATATAATATTCTTGATATGTACATAAGTGGACATTCAAATAAGATTTTTACATATTTAAACAAAAAAATATAATAGAATTTATATAATATTTAATTTTTGTCTAATAATTTGAAATATTTATAATTAATTCTAAAAATATTTAATATGTTATAAATTAAACTACAACTATATATCTAAATAAGTTACATGCAATATAAAATACTTATAGTTATTATAAAATAACTTACGCAATTCCATTTCACCTTCTTCCTCTTCATCATCATCATCTTCAGTTGCTATGTCGATATTGCCATTTAACAGCTCATGCGATCTGCCTTCAGCAATTTGCATGGCACACGAGGATGTTGTGGGAATATCATCGACATTCAAAACATTTACTGCGTTTGTCAGTGGTATATTACCGATAGTAATGGGAATAATAGTTTTGGGATTATACATAAAATGATTCATAACAGCCACAACACAAATTTCATAAGACACCTTCACCACTTTGCTGAGGTGCTCACATGTTGGTGGGGTAGCTGGTACACGTATCGTTTCAGTAAATGTGCGCTTCAGATTCCGAGGCACGGCACCACAATATTTCTTTATTAAACATATTGTTTCCGATGTACTTCGTATACTGGGTGTATCTGATACATAGGTAGCGCGTAAATTTAAAGCAATCAGTAGCTTTTTACAATCAACCTGTGATTCATTGTTGACTTTGGCACAGACTAGTATCATTTGCCCAGGCACGTAACCAGTTTGCATGAGATCCACATTCAAATGTACTGCTGTGCTGCCAAAAAAACAGAAATTCTCCAGTGCCTCATTGCTTGCTGGTTCCTTCATATTAAAATAGAGGTAGTGTAGTAGAGGTGATACTTGATAAAATTAATTATATACAAAATTCGAAAACATGAAATGTGAACGTTTTTTGTGAAAAACTCTCACTTCCATCACGTATCATTTTTTTACACTTGGCTTTTAAAGTGACTTAGCTATTGCTTTTCTCAAATTGGACATGATGTATAAGTTTTAAATAACAAAATGTCTGGGTTTTTTTTTGGAATAGATGTGGATATTAAATTTTAAAGATTGTCGTAGAAAAACGATGCTTGATGAGAGAAAACCTTTATCACAAAAAATGTATGTAAAATATTAGGGTACTGACATACACAGATTGAAGAAAATTTTCTTTTTAACAAAAACTTGGATAAAATTAAGGTTTTCGAAAAAATGTTTGAAATTTACCGGATAAAATCCAATTTAAATTATCATAGTCCCTAAAACCATTTAAATAGTTAATCTAACTTAAATGCTTCACTCCAAATGAATCCAAATGAATATTTGGATGAACTACTTTTGAAATATTAAAGGTCATTTAACTTTATTTTTTTCGGGTACAGTTCTCTTAAATACTTGATTTCTTGATAAATAAAAACCATCACACGTTTTCCATCAAAATCTTTTCACTTTTTTATTTTGCAAATTAAGAAACCATCACCAAACTTTCTGAGTCTTTGGGAAGACAATGTGCCATATGCAACTTTTAATACTTCCAATAAGTTTCTGCTCAGATAGTCTATTAAGTATAAGAATCTAATAAAGCCGGTAAATAATTACACAGATTCCTTAATATATTAAAAAGTTATTGAGAATAATTAGTTTTATGTGCAAGTAAAATTGTAGAAGATGTAGTCAAAAAATATTTAGTAGTTAACAGTAAAGAGCCTATTCGAACAGAGATATATTTTTAAAGAACTCAGATATATATAACGACTTTTGAGCTAAAATAATATATTAGAACTTTAAACATGAAACGTTAAATGTGTTTTGAATATGGTGAATAAGAAGATTTAAATTTTATGACCATTGCTTACCAATAGCAGTTTGCTTTCTTTGTTTAGATCCAATAATTTTAATACTGTAAAGCCCACTGTATGTGTACGATTTGTAGAACCTGAACGCACAAATGTTACTTTTGCTACATAACGTATATGACCATAGCTTCCCTCGTAAGAAGAAGGACAATTTGGAGGTATTGGACAAGCAAACTTATATGTATATATGCCTGGTTCAATTTGCATGCTATTACCTGAAAGAAATAGTTTGAAATAATCATTTATAAAAATTTTTTTCATGGACTTACCTTCATTTGAACCCACTAAAAATGTGGTCGAAGCTATATAATCTTCACGTCCATAATAGACGTGTTTTCGACCTGGTTTCACTTTGGCATCATCTATTCTTTTGCCATGTTTCATCTTCCATTGTGCTAAAGCATATCCACATATTTCAAGTTTTATACCTATTAAGGAGAGAATTTAATACTCAATGATTGCTTTTGGGAAGTATTAAACATGGGTTTCTGTAGTCTTGACTTGTTCGGTTAATTTTAAAATTGGCTTTAAACCAAATGTGTTTACAAATATTGCATGAAAGTTAGAATCGTTTTATACTTATGATGAAGACAAAAATGAAATGGCATTTCCGTACTTAAAGTTCAAAAATAGAAATATTAATTAAAATTTAAAAAAAATCCCCTAAATTTTGGTTGTTTATTATATTATTTTGTAATTATTAGAGTTAAATACTATTAACAAACTTTTGCTATCAGCAAATTTTTGGAATTATCTTCAATTACGCATTTTTATAGATTAATGAGTTTACATTGTTTCACTTTTGCTTTTATTATGATAAGATATGAACTTCACGGATTTCTGTCTCTACTGCTTGTGTTGTAAAATATTAGCTAAGCAATATTTTTAGTACATATCAAAACTAATAATATATTAACTTCGTTTACAATTTCAAATTTATTTTTGTAACATATTGTAAGTATGCTATTGTAAAAATAATAGTTTTACCGTTTTTCATGGATGAACATTTTCTTAAAATACTTATTTTTATATATAATACACATTTTTACTTTGGTTATTACTGTGATCTCAGGCATTCCTTTAAGTCTTTTAACGTGTTTTATTGCATTATTCAACTTGACAGTATCAGCATAATTTCGCACCTTTAATAGGTAAGTGCTTAACTATAAGATTAAGATACTTCTTAAAGAAAGAACCTTGAGTTGACTGAAGATCTACTAAGATATTCAGTTTATCTACGTTGCACATGCACTGGACATGGTGAAAGCAGATCTGAAACTCTTCATTTGCTTTTCACAAAGTCGTTGCGAAAATTGCTGAAGGACACATTCAATATCTTAGTATGGGTTCGTAATCGATAGTGAAGGTTCGACATTTTTTAAGTGATATTTTTATGAGATCGCCCTTCTGTTGTCAGGAAGGGTTGACCTCTACGGAGATGTCTATATATCAGTGAATATTCAAATTTTATAATTACTTTTTTAAACACAAAGATTTTAATAACAGTTTATGTCGTGATTACATCTAAATAGTATTGAGGATTCAAATTAAAGAAATTAAGTTTTGAAAGATAATTCTCTAATTAAATTTTTTTTTTGTTTAAATGTCTCCTTCAGATTTGATCTTATAAATTTTTAGATGAATCGTACGTCATGATACTCTTTCTTTCCCTTTTTTTTTATTATATTCTTTATACAGAACAAAAATTTTAAGCTTTTGTAACATAGGTACCAAAAGTACTTGTTAAAAGTGTTGAAAAGAATTTATTACAATAAGGTTATATTATTATCACCCTAGACAATTCACGATCAACTATTTTCATTCTTAAGTTCTTTATAGAATTGTAATTTTCATAATAAAATACATTATAAATTTGTTTCCAACTTTCCAAACTTCCGACCGTTTGAATACTTTTCGGTTTTAGTTGAAACAACTATAATTTTCTATTATAATTCTTAGTCCTTCAAATGTGAGAAACTCGAGGTTTTAATATAAATTTTTCAGTTTTATGAAAATTTGTATTTAGTAATTTTAATCGTTGCTAACTAATACTATTTTAGTTTATAACATGCCATCTCAAAGATATTCTGAAATCAAATTTTTCATTTATGTATGCTTAACATATTTGATCTTTGAATACTATTTTTTCACTTTCAAATTATTGTCAGGGAAGGATATCTAGGTGAGCTTGTAAAATGTATATTCTAATATAAATTTGTCAAATATGGAGCTGCCGATGACATCAATTTTTGTCTTATTTTGGTTTCAAAAATTTAATCCAAATTTAATATTCATTATCATGAGCTACTTTGCAGACCGCTTGAAGTTTTTCAATTATAGTAACTTGACTTCGGCATTTTCTTAGACTTTGAACCTTTTTGAATTTTTAGTATTGTCTTTCATTTACTGATAGTGAAATACAGACATACTTAATAGTTTTATTTATTTATTTTTATTATTTATTTTATTTATTTGTTATTAATTTAGTTATTACTTTTATTTATTTATTATTTACTTATTATCTATTAACTCCTCCAAATTTGAAGCTAAAAGTATACTAGTTAGATAGTATAATACTAGTACTAGTATAAAGGTTCTTTCATTCCTTAATTTACCTGAATTCCATTGCTTCTCCTATTAACTATAAAAAAGGTTTATCATTTTTATCTTAAGAGTTTCTGTCTTATTTCTATCCATATATTATTTTGATGAGATAATATATGAAAAAATTTATCTAATTTTAGATGGCACACTTCACACAGTTCAGCTCTCCAATTTAGTTTTCGAAACTGTATTAACTTATATTATGAACTTATATTATTATTATTAACTTTTAATCTTTACTAATATTTATAGATCTCTTTCATAAACCATTATTATAATTACTATATTTTCTGAATACCTTACAAATAATGTTGAATGAGAATTACTCGATTTAATATTCATATTAGTATACACTGTTTTTTTGTATCTGGCTACAGGTAATCTTTTTCAAATTAAACGTTTGTTTAATATTTTTTAATATATTCTATATTTCGACTTTATATAGTATATTTTCTTCTTGATTCTTGATTCTTCTTCTTGAGTTAGTGCTTTTACTCTATAATGGCTGGGTTATCTCTACCCCACACTAAGCTTTAACTAGGCTAAGAAATCATATCATTTATTTGTCTTTTAGTTGATGACGGACCTTAAATCAGCATTTCTTCCTGAGAGTCCAGAAGTGGACTTTAGGATTGTTAGGGCGGGGTTAAGTAGCGTATCAACTTTAGTGATAATATTAGTATATTTTCGATTTTATTGATATTAATTAATGTTTATTAATTAGTTCTTGCCCAGATTATGACTTTCAAAGAGAGTCGAAATATAAAATATATTAAAAAAATATTAAACAAATGTTGAATTTAAAAAAAGTGCCCTGCAGCCGAATATAAAATATATAAAAAATCATTATTGAAAAAACTGGGTCGAGAAATAAATTCAAAAATGAATTTATTTATATTGTTATTATAATACTTTCTGAAAATTGGGTCATATATGTTATATTTCACTGTTCCATAAAAATATTGTCACTCATCGCGACGTATTGGAAGTCACAAATTTAGGATCTTAAGACCTATTGAATTTTCCACATTAACCCGCAAGTCATTTAGTAATTTTAGATTTCTGTAGTTACCTTTCAATTTTCTCGCTTTACTCAACGTTACGATAACTTTACCCGTCACAGTTTGCCCGGTAAAATAGGTGCCGTGTTCATTTTGATCGAAAACAATTACGCAATTATTTGCCATATTTTGTTGACTTCCGAGCGGTTTTAACACCAATCGGACTTCATTCGCAACAAATTACAAATAAACAATAACAATAACACCGAAATTGAATTCAAAAATTGTATTTTTTGTTATATTTTATTTACTAACAAACTGGAGCTGCTGCCAAGTTTGGTAAATAAACGAGCAACTGCACAAGAGAAGCTCACTTTTTCGACTAACTCAAATTCTGAGTTTTCTAATTGTTAGACATTACGTGTGGGCAAAAAAACAATTTATTATATTTACTTATGCACATACATGCATAATTATATATACATATTTGTACATTAAATCTGTAAATTTGTTTATCCGCAGTCTACGAATCATTATCTAATCAGATATACACCTATATATGTGTTATCTTCAATTTGTATTCAGATAGCTTTCAAATAGTTTAAGCACACCACAGTGGAGCTAACCCTTGAATTTTTATATTCAATTTCTTTATTTTGATTATTTGTTGAGAGTAACACTAGGAAATCATTTACATCACTTGGATAGTATCTCTTACAATAACTTTGATTAGTCGCTCTCGACAAAATTTTCTATACAAGCTTGGCTTTTTTATTTACTCTTCACATATTTAGTTCCATATTTGCTATTCAAAATATTGACCAACATAAAAATAGATGTGGTATGAGTAACTTGTTTATTTGGCCGGCTGTTGTCGATGTAGATACATTTGCATTTATTTTTTTTAACAAAATATAAATAATAAAAAAAATTTCGTTAACTTAATTGAATTATAATGATTTTCTTCGAAAAAAATTAATTTTATAAGTGCTTCTTATTATTACTCAGCAATCGATTTATATATTTAGTATATGTGGGAGTTTTAATAAAAATAAATAAAAGTAAAATAATCTTCATTATTCGAAATTTAAAAGTATTTTAATTGTACATCAAAGAAATTTTGACTTTGATATTTTAATAACTTTCATTTAAAACTGAACATGAAATATATGGAATGTTTTTTCTAAGCATAATATGAAGACTGAGGATGAAAACATAATATATCACAGATAGCGTTTGAGACACCCACTGTAGAGGCCTATCTTCAATAATTCACATTTTCATACCAAAAGGTGAATAAAACTCTTAAAAATGAACATGAGATTGCTTTTAATATAAAAGCTTCAGACAAAGTTCGACATTTCGAGAAATGTTTATATAGAGTTTTGCATATCGACGTAGTTCAGCCTGTGGAGATGATTCCTTGGTCCGCATCAATTCTGAACCAATTAAAGCAAAGTAGGAATTTTGTTACAGGACATCATAGGAATCATAGGACGGAATGGGGCTAGACTTGGCCTTCCCTTTGATAACTTCGGCAACTAACTCTAACACTCAACTAACTCTAACTCTCAACTCTAACTACTAAATCTCGAAGAAAGGATACCAGAACACTTGTTGCGTCTGTATCCAGACCTGGCCAGAGATAAGTTCAGTATTTTGAGGGCTCCCTACTTTAACACACTCAGTGATATCTCGAGTTTTAGCATTGGCCAGACTCTTGTTTTTACAAATGCATTTGGATGGTTCTAGTTCGACCCTCTTCTACTCACTATTACGAAGAGTTGTGGATTCAAAATGCCATTCTAAGCTAATAGAGGAGAACTCGTTCCTCCCTTAACTTCAACTAACTAACTAACTGATGCAATGAAATGTAGTGAATAAAGGAGTTTTCAAAGTTTAAGCTCTCTGGATACAGTTGTTTAATAATTAATGAAAAGTGTCATGCCAATACACATACCTTTAAGAGATTAGAAATATTTTTTTCACAATTTTAAGTACGGAAGAGGTGGTTTTAGTTTTTGAGATAAAACTTTGTAATTCAATGTAATCATAATGCTGCTCAATTAAATATGTATTACAAGAATACTATCTTTAATGAATATCTTAGTCTTATGTCGACAGAAGCCTAAATTGAAACATTTTTTTACTCCTTTAAATTGTAAAAAAATAGTTTTGAAATTAAAGTGAATTTTAATAAAAAAACATATTTGACTCACTTTTTGAACTTGTAGTAATAACCAGATATAATTGATATTAACCCATTTGTGGGCAGGAACTATGAGGTAGCTACCAAAAGACTTAGTCGTGTGCTGGAAATATGGTATATTGCATATTAAAAAGCCAAGCTTATTTTCACTCCACATGTGGTTTACAGGTAGTAAACCTAGTTGTATTTCAATCTGTGACATCAACTTGTATTCTGAAAACAGGAACAGTAGAAAGAGGACGTCTTTAATCTCAGCGATATCTCCACAGGTCTTTGATGGAGTTAGGGACTTTGGATAACACATTCACTAAATAGAAACTGAAAAATCAAGTCTATCAAGTCTATACATTTATTTATTTTATTCGCTTGTTTTAAAAATTTTGTATTTATTAAATTTTAAACAAAAGTGGTTATAGTAGATCCTACAGCTCTGATTTGCTAAATATTCCCAAGGAAGTTAATCGAAATATTATATGGCGTAATGTATATAATATAAATGTTTTATTTTTTTGAACTTTGCTAGTTCTATATATTTAGAAAAATATATGTCAACACTTCATATAAAAAGTACTGTTTCCAAACCTTTCAATTGCTTTTAAATTAAAATTGTTAATTTCGTTACTAAAATTGAAATAAAAATTTTAAGAATTTAAAAAAGAATTAATTTTTCAATATCTAATGTTTTAAATTATTTAAAACAATTCAATTTCTATTCACAGATTAATATGGTTGTAAAATTTGATATCCTGTTTGAACATGATTCAGGAGTTTATTTTGCTGGACAAGAGCTGAAAGGGAAGGTTGTTATACATCTTAACAAACCGAAAAAAGTGAGAGGTAAGTTGATTTAGTGAAAGATATAAAAGATAAAAAATAGTGGTATTTATATAAGTTGCATTCCGTAATTTATATTTATTTCATTAGAATGAATAAAATGGTTTAATCAACAATTATTATAAAAAACATTTTTAAAATTTGAATTAGGACTTGAGTTACGAATAAAAGGTTTTGCTGCAGTAAAATGGTCGGAATCTGGAAGTGACAATAATTCTACATATTACGACGGAAAAGAAGACTACATAAAAACAACAACTCATTTAGTTGCTGCAAGTAAGGAAAAAAAAACTAAAATTACCCTAAATAATTCTTGTAGAGAAAAGTTTTTCGTCTCCTGCTTTTCCAGGGTTTATAGGAATATTTATAATTATAATTTTACACAATTTCTATTTTTAACCTAGAAATATGTAATTAAATTTTCAAGCTCAAATCTCAATTTCAAATTACAATAGAAAGAAAAAATTTCGAAATGGTAGATGAAATGACTAATTTTATAACCAATTTGTAGGTGATTCAACTGTATTGGATCCTGGCACACATACCTTTAATTTTACTTGTCAGTTATCTCCGCTTTGTCCGTCGTCTTTTGAAGGTAAATATGGCCACATAAGATATACAGCAAGGGTAGTCCTAGTACGACCGTGGAAATTTGATCAAAAGTACACAAAAGGTTTTACTGTTTTGGCATTAGTGGATCTTAATCGTATTCCAACTATTAGAGTAAGTAAAGTATTAATCTTTATTAATGTCCTTTTTTATTTGAGTCATTACTTAATTCATTACTTGAAGTGATTAAGAGAATTTAATAATAATGAAATGTTATAACAATTACATTTCACATAAATATATAATGTGTTATATATTAATTGTTAAAATTTATAGATATATTTTCTTATAGCTTCCATTTCATATGAACATATCGCGAACCTTCAGGTGTTGGCCATTATCAACTGGAGACTTGAGGGTAACATTAGACATGCCTCAGAGTGGTTATGTCCCAGGAGAATGTTTGCCTTTAAAACTTTTGATTGACAATAAAAGTAATGTAGCCGTGGTGTCTATCAATACAAAGTTACGCATGATCATTAAATTTAGCAGTCAACATCCAAGTAAAAAGACAAATAAAGATAAAATATCAATAGCAAAACTTTATGGTGAAGGCGTGAGGAGTAAAACAAAAAAGGAGTTTAATTATCGGATAAATATACCGGCAACACCGCCAACATCATTTGATCGTTGTGGTATTATTAATATTATGTATGAGCTGAATGTTGAAATAGCATTGAGTGGTTGGAATCTTAAGGAAACATTGTCTGCACCCGTGGTTATAGGTACTGTACCATTTAGTAGCAGCAGACAACAACAGCCAACAACGAGCAGAGCTGTTGAACAACGAAAAATGGAAACATATTTTGGTGATGAAAGACAACCTGAACCGTTAAAAATCGTAAGGAGTGATGAAACACCACAGGATGATAGTCAAACACCATGGGGAGAATCGCGTAAGTTTCTTATATATCTTATATATACTATTTTTTGGAATATATGTGCTTAAAACGTGGTAGATAATATATTTTTAAATTTAAATTGATCAAAAAAATGTATATATTATAAGAGAATTATCAATTTGTAAATTTTGGTATGCCTGTTATTTATAAGTATAAGATTGAAGGTTATTTAGATTGTTCAAATATTCTTTAATATAAGTATCTACTGCACATAAAATGTATGTAAACATACATTAACACTTCACACTACCGTAAAGAATAAGTATATTTAGTTTGTGAAGATGTTTGTAACGGAAACATTGTAGTCCATGTAAACTATATTTCTAATAAACTTTAGTCTCGTAACTTGATAATCCCGATTTAAATGACAAAATCAATTGATTTAGTAATGTTATTATGTCTTTGCGTTTATAAGACATAAGTTTTGAAAATGAAATGTAATTTGTTAGAAAATATAACGGATACACAAAACTCAAGAAATCCAAAGATTCTTCTATAATATATTTTATCATTAGAAATAAACCAAATAATAAACCACATGCACATTTATAATACCTACCTATATCAAGAAAAGCAGATTTTACAAGAATAATAATTTGTAAAAATTAAGTGATTTATAAATAATATAGAATTATTTTTAATTTGTGTGTACAGAAGTAAGTTATACAATTTTTAATTCTAGCACCACCTACTTATGAGACAGCAATGCACATGATGGCAGGAAAAATTAACCAAGAAGAACAAAACGATTATGGACCTTTGGAATTTTCGCCAAGATATCCTGTGTTTAACATACCGCGAAATACCTAATTATTTCGCGGTATGATATACTAATTTGTTATTCATATAAAAGTTGTTTAAATTTTTTTTTGATATTAATCTTTTTTAATTAATTTATTATTTTCTAAAATAAATATTGGAACATTTTTTATTAAATGACTAATTGAATTAATGCATATAATTTCAGCTATAGTTTAAAAAAATTTTAAATATATTTACTTGCACAAACTATACAAGATTTAGATTTATATATCTTGAAAACCCAAATGAAGATTCTTTATTGCCATTTTTGATATTAGTATGATCTCTTAGGATTGGCCATAGCTTTGACAAATCAACAGATTCTATGCTATTTAGGTTAGGTCGGATTAAAACGGAGTATACTAAAATAACTGACAACACTTTCACTCGGAGATATCTATTGCCCAATGTAACACCCTCAAAGTTGCCTACGAAAGGTGAGTTACACTAAATGTTGTTACACTTACTGTTGGTATTGTCAACGTTGAATCACTTGGTCTTCCAGTTAAGGTTTATTAGATCCGATATGTCTATTTTTATTATCGCTTTTATGCCAGCGAAGAAAGTTTGCCAGTCTCCATGACATTGAAGTCGCTTCATCTGTAGTCCCGAACAAGGACAGTCATTAATGAATTTTATTTCGTCGTCACCGTTGTAACTTTTACACAGTCCACTTTTCAGGTTATGCTCCAGCTAAAGCTTCGGTGCAATGGGTGATGACTATAAGGTTCTAGCAACCTCACAGTTTTCGGGATTAGTCCACAAGTCATTTATCATCACAATGTCACCTAAATAGTACACTCAATGTTGTTTTTATCGTTGAGTAGGTCTCATTTATGTACAAATATAACATCTTCTGCCCAACCCGTTTATCTTATAAAGCTTTTTAGTGTCAACTAAGCTCAAACATATATTAAGATTCAACCCAAAATTACTTAATAGACACCAAAATGTTGACTGTATTAACTTTCATTCATTATTTAAATATACTGAAAATGTTTTCCATAATAAAAAAAATTCGACTATTTATCAGAATGGGTTTTGGGAAGTACTGTAGATAAGCATAGATTCCAGTGGTGAAATTGTATGCCATTATAAACAATTATGACTCATTAAGTCTCTAAAATGAATTTTACTGAATTCGAAAAGTATTCATCATTTTTTTTAAATCGCTTACTTTAATTAGTGTTAGTGTGAGATTTATTTATACTTCAATTTTAGAACTTTATTTAAAATTAATTTGGATCAGACAGTCCAATAAGTTACTAATGACAAACGCATTTAGTTAATTTAAATGTAGAGTCAAGCTTATATATCACAGCAAAATGATATACATGTATTTAACTCAAATCAAATTACAAGTGTATTTTATTCAAATTATTATTTATTATTTATTATTCGTGAAACCAAAGCTAATCAGCTTTAGATTTATTTAAACATATCCATTTTGTGGTTTCACAAAAGCAAATTGGAATATAACACACTTGTAATTTTATTTGATTTAAATATAATGTTTGGGCATTAACTATTACTCATTCAATACTTTTAAGATAATTTTTGATGATATTTTGTCACATAGCAGAAGCTATCAATAGCTGATCATAACTTAAAAGATGTTCAAGTTCAAAGTGCCAACTTTTTGAGGATTGTACTAGTTAGAAATATTAGCTTCTACTTCTCTAAACAATATTGCTCTGATCGGAAAACATGTTTATTTTTAGAAAGTATGCTTTATAGTTGATTGATAAGCAAATAATTAAACATGAATTGATAAAACAGTAACAGTTGGTTTAATAATCAATGTTTTTGGAGAAAAAAAAATATTTTTTCTTCTTCTTCTTCTTGTTCTTGAGTTAGAGCTATTACGCACTTTTACTCTATAATGGCTGGGGGGCTCATCACTACTACATATTTAAAAGCATTAAGAGATATTTTAAGTTACAAAGGGTCATTTTGAAATAGAAGTCTTCATTATAATGCATGGATGTAATAATGGACATCTTAACGATTCGATTTACTGTACTAATGTGTTACTATTGTGTTTTTACAGTTGAAGAAAAATATAATCCATTGAATATATTATAAGAATCATAAGAACGACTTTTTATATGTACGTGTATTTAATAATATATAATATATATTATATTTTTATTACATTATAATATTAATATAATATATTAATATAAATTTATTAATTTCTTTATTGAAAAAGAACTTAAACCACAAGGAGACTATATATTTTTGCTAAATTCATATTTAAAACAAAAATAATGTGGTAATATATAGGAGAGTAAAAATATGCTATAGAAATTGGTAGCATTAATATTTTAATAATTTTTAAAGTATTTTGTTGAGAGTAAATTATTTATTAATTATTTATAACCGTTACTTTAACCAATGCACTCCTCTCATGCCAATATTTTACCTCTATCTTCATATATAACTACGCGGAAAACTGGTATCTACAGTTACCCAGATATTATTTTGTTATAAAATTGTGAAATGAATAGTTTAACAACTTTTTGTTTTTCTCTATTAAACGTCGAAAGACTTTTTTCCTGTCGTTTATTGTATCCAACAGCTTTTAAAAACTGTTTTTTTTTAATGAAATTACAGACTTGCTGGTCACTATTGTGTCAAAATTGACAATATCAATTAACGTCTAGTTTTAAATTACTCCAGCTGACTTTACTTTACTTACTTTCCATGTAAGTAAAATAGATCAATTTATTAGGAAAAGTAACTAAGCACCATCAAATTACATACTAAACAAATACACAAAACTTACCAGAAACTGGTATCTACACTAAATTTTAATAGCCATAGTCAACTTTATTAAGCAAGGCTGCTGAATAACAATAGATTATGTAGTAAAAAATGTCTAAGACCATTTCTACAATAAGATTTAACGTTTAGAGACGAGAACTTGGAGGCGAGAAGAATTGGTTAGTTAAGTAGTGCGAATGATTGATGGGGTGTACTTATACATTCTTGTCTTCCCTTCTATATTATAGTGAAACTTATTATAACAAGTTTTATAATTCAAATAATAATAATAAACATAAGTTATAGTTAATTTCAGCCTTGTTAATTGTAAATGCAATTATTATTTTTACTTGAAAGTTTTTTATTTTTAAAAATTTTGAAATTCAAAATATTTTATATTAAAAAGTGTATGTCCAATATTTTGTTTTATATACAGAACCTTTAATTTTTTGTTTTGAAAAACCTTAGAAAATTAGTAAATTAGAAATTATATTTTAAGTTAGGTTCATGAACATTGCGCGTATTTCATACCATGCTTCCACTCGTGTCATTTACACCATGTTTCCACTGATCTTCTTTGTACCACGTTGCACTTGTCTAATTTAGACAGTTTTTCTCATACAATCCGCTAAGATAAATAATTTACCACATATAAATGTCCTTATTATAAATATATCTACTGTTTTTATAAGTCTACTTATTATTCTTGCTCTATTTTAGACGAAGAATGTCAAATGCAACCCTTAAAAATAGTTTTCCCAATAGAGAAATGACCGAAATTTTAATATTTGTTATACCATATGTTCTATATATAAAATGTAAACAAGCAATCTATACGCAAACATGCGTAAATTAGCTTATGCCAATGGAAATGATCAAATCTTAATTTTATTGCCATTGATAGTTGTAGCTGTGGTGGAAACATGACATTAGGGAGTTTTGTTCATTAAGGTCGCTAATGAGGATATTTTACCATACATTGTGCTTTCTTATAAATGAGTTCATTATAAATAAATCAACTCATTTAAGGCGAAAAAGTCGAATAAAACCTTTAAATATATATTTCCTATATGGGAACTTACCAAAATTTCAAATATTTGTTATATGGTTTATATGATGCATGTAAATAAGTAAAAGTTTAGCTGTAAACAAATGTGCGGAAGTTAGTATTTAATAAAATCTTTGTTTTTATTAATTAAATATGTAATATATATATATAAAATTTATGCAAATGATGTAGTATATTAATTATATATTAATTGTTTTGTGTGGTATATTGTAAAGTGAAGTTTATAAAAGTTGCATAAATAAGCTCGTTATAATGTGAACGTTTATTCATTAATATAAATGAGCAAGTGTCAAAATAAGACTGTGTGAATGTACTATTAGCTGCAGTGGAAACATGATATTAGATACTCAATAAGTCAAGCTTTTGTGTAGCGTACCAATTTTACTTACCGCTGTTCATGTGATACTTTTGTTTATTCTACCGTTTGTTGTTTATCTGTTTCATCTGACATGCGGTATTTAGCATGAGTACTCAGCTTTTTTTCATTCTCTCCCACGCTGTCTATAAATATCGCTCACGACGCAAACTTTGACGTTTCTTGATTTGCTGTTTTGATTCCGCTCTATTGGTAATGATTTTAATATTTTTTATAAAATAATATTTATTATAAAATATATAATAATTTAAAGGCTTTTCGAACACCATTCTTTCTTTCTTTGCTCTTCGAAAACCCTCTAAATTTGAATATAGCTTCTTTGTCACCATATAAAGAAAGCGTGGCTTTTTCAGCAGCAATTAGTGCTTCAAATATAATAATTTTAATAAATTAATAATAATAATTTATTTTAAATAAATTGTGAGTGATAAATAAAAAAGACAAGTATGTATATTATTATATATGTAAATATATTTCTAAATCTTATTTCTATCTAATTTCAGACCACTTCTTTGAAATTTGAGTGCATGCATTTGAGTGCATGCGGGGTGGGGTTTGGTAAGTAGTTATAGTAAATATGATATATTGAATTTCTCTATTTTAATTACAGATATTTGCAACATTTATTACCAGTAACTGCTCTATTTACTATTTTAGGTGTATAATATTTGCCAAGTGATATTTTGTATTAAATGTAATAAATGTGATGTGTAGAACTCAATCAGTATTCTCTTGTCGTGACGTTTAAGTGTATGTTTATATAGGAGTTTGAACTTCTAAGTTTAAAGTTATAGTATTGCTTGGTGGAAGGAATTTGATAAATGGTTTTTAAAGACATTTTTTCGAACAGTAGTGAACTAAAACAACAAAAATTCATTTTATATTTT